TACACCATGATTTAAAAAATGCTGTAACCTCTTTGTGAAAATAGAACAACATGTTTTTTCCTGTTCCAAAGTAACAACCGGTTTTCGTTTAATGACATAATTTACTCACATCGTTGCACACTTATTGACGGCAGGAGCGCCCCCTGGTGCTACGGAGGGGGGCACTGGTCTCACCGGTGGATACCCTCAAGAGTGGTGGCCGGGGGGGGGGGGCACCAAAGTGGGGAAAAAAAATAAAGATTAGATGATACCCTCAAGAGTGGTGGCCGGGGGGGGGGGCACCAAAGTGGGGGAAAAAAATAAAGATTTGATAAGCCTGCTTAAGCCAGTTTCACAACCGATCGTAGTTCAATAGAAGAGCAGGGTCCCAACAGAAAAGGTTGCCACCATATCAGGGTGCCGTTAGAGCAGGAAGCCACCCTAACACGGCGCCACTTAAGTATTACATACTTTTTAAACATGTTCGATGGCTCATCACACGTATGTCCTGATGACCACGCGTCTATAGTATTCAGAAATGTAATAATCTCTTTTGATGGTGGTGACAACAACACTACTGACGCCACTGCTTGTCACATTGAATCTACTGGTGTTTGTTCATTGTGAGCTCATCCTAAGAAGGAAGTTCGCTCCATCGAAGATAGGCAATACGTATTTCAAACCATCATATGATACCACCGCATCGATCAGAATGTGTGGGGAGCATAGCTTCTAATGGCCGCTTCAAAAATCTAACACATTCCCCCCCCAATCAATACCCGAATTGACCTGCCCCAAGTGATAACTTCAGCAGGTTAAATTTGAGCATAATTCATCTTAAGTGGAGACGGGCTTTTTTAATTGGTATTTAATTAGAGGTGGCCATCTTTGGAAAATCTCGTGGGCCGTGACATATATGCAAATGTGAGGTCAAAGGTTGGGAGCGAGGGTATTTCCCAACCCTTTATTTCAAAAACAAAAAATCCCTGATTTACTGCTCAGTCCACTTTTAGTGTGTGAGAGAACTGCATTGATTAAAAGATTTTAGAAGATGCACCAAGAATCGTAAATTTGTTTCAGCGCTGTTTTTGGTTTTTGGTTGTTGTTTTTTTTTTACTGTAGCTTTAGACTACGAGTAATGGCTGACATGCTGAATTATAACCAAATGAATTTATTGGCAGTTATTTACCTCCGAAGTAATTTATGTACAGGTAGAAGCAATTTCTCTGTCGTCCGGAGCAATTGAATGTCCAGATAGAAGCAATTTCTCTGTCGTCAGGAGCAATTGAATGTCCAGATAGAAGCAATTTCTCTGTCGTCAGGAGCAATTGAATGTCCAGATAGAAGCGATTTCTCTGTCGTCAGGAGCAATTGAATGTCCAGATAGAAGCGATTTCTCTGTCGTCAGGAGCAATTGAATGTCCAGATAGAAGCAATTTCTCTGTCGTCAGGAGCAATTGAATGTCCAGATAGAAGCAATTTCTCTGTCGTCAGGAGCAATTGAATGTCCAGATAGAAGCAATTTCTCTGTCGTCAGGAGCAATTGAATGTCCAGATAGAAGCAATTTCTCTGTCGTCAGGAGCAATTGAATGTCCAGATAGAAGCAATTTCTCTGTCGTCAGGAGCAATTGAATGTCCAGATAGAAGCAATTTCTGCACTGATAGATGTAATTTTATATCCAGGTAGAAGTAATTTAATGTCCAGATAGAGGTAAGATAATGTCCAGGTAGAAGTAATTTAATTTTCAGGAAGAATTAATTAAATGTCCAGGTAGATGTAATTCAATAAACATAAAACTGATTTTTGTATTAATACTTATCCTTGTTACTTGTTATCTTTATGCTTTTACATTAGGCAAGCGTTCTCTGTAGCTAAAAGGGGCAGCGGGGGGGGGGCAGATCTCCCTGGGCGCCAGACTAGTTAGGGGCGCCAAAATGTGCTTTGATATTATTTTATTGATGAAACTTATGGGTTTGAGAGTTGAAAAAAAAAGAAAGGGAGGCTCTTTAAAATGAATCTTCTCCCCGGGCGCCAAACACTCTAGCTACGCCTCTGGGTCTCTGGCAGGATTTAAATGTCTATTTAATGTTACGCCAGCCGTAGGATATGGTACGAAAATATGAGGATCACTGTGCTGTTGGGATATAAAAACACCTTCACATACAGTGTTGACATTGCGATAACTCTATAAAAACGTCGTGTCATTGATTGGGTGTAAAACGCTGTTAGAAGTGGTTGCTAGGGCCAATGGGGAAAACACCCTTGTTTAAACCAAACCCGCTGGTGTGATGTTACACGGTTCTGATGAGAAATATAATGCGATATGCTACTTTGCAGATACGATGTTGCACGTATATACTTTTATATTAAACTTTACATAATTTCTGATGATAAGAAATGTACTTTGGTGTGATTGCTTCACATTTCTGATGTTGATAAATGTACTTTAATGTGATGCTTCACATTTCTGATGTTGAGAAATGAACTTTGATGTGATACTTCAAATTTCTGATGTTGCACAATGAACCTTGATGTGATACTTCACTTTCCTGATTTTGAGAAATGCACCCCATTTCTTTTCTTTTTCCAATCGTTGTTGTTTTATTAACAATTTTTGTATACTCAGTGTATTTCCAATCTTTCTATTCCCAATCCTTCTATTCCCCCATCCTTCTATTCCCCATCTTTATATTCCCCATCATTCTATTCCCTAACCTTGTATGGAACATTTTTGTATTCTTTTAATTGTTCAATTCTTGATATCCCATCCTTTTTAATCCCCAATCTTTTAATCTCCATCCTTGTAATCTCAATCTTTGTAATCCCCATCCATGTAATCCCCATCCCTGTAATCCCCATCCCTGTAATCCCAATCCCTGTAATCCCAATCCCTGTAATCCCAATCCCTGTAATCCCAATCCCTGTAATCCCAATCCTTGTAATCCCAATCCCTGTAATCCCAATCCCTGTAATCCCAATCCTTGTAATCACCATCCCTGTAATCCCCATCCCTGTAATCTCCATCCTTGTAATCCCCAGACAGTAAGAGCGCCGAGGTCTCGGGAGTAATCAACAATGTCAGAACATACGGAAACCGGGCTGCCCGCCTTCTTTGGCCGTGTCGTTTCCGGTTTACAGAATTTGATTTAACCAGTTCGACCAGCAACCACCGTTTGAAAGTACAGGTGAGCTCAGGTGTCTTAGACAAAATTAAGATGAGAGTACAGGTGAGTGCAGGTTTCTTAGACAAATGTTAGGATCACAGTACAGGTGAGCTTA